CACCGAAAACAGCTGTAGTATGGGTCTTTCGTGTAGATCAATTGGTAGACTTCCATCGTTTCCTCCGTTATTTTAAAATTCAGTTGATTTCTTTGCTCCCACTCTTCTAAGCTCCAGCAGTCGGATATGTCATATTTAGAAGAATCGTTTGTGATTTTTGAATTGGATTTTAATTATGTTATATCATTCGAAGTATTCGCAAGAGTTTGTCGTATGCGCTTTATAGTGATGTGAGTTGTTCGGCGTTCATTTAAGTATGTAGAATCGATATTCAGAGATCTTGCATTATGGTTGCAAGTCGAATGATTCGTATTGGACGCTATCTTCGAGCGTTGCCACGAGAACTGTGGAACCTTTATCCTGAACAAGTTGGTTTGCACAATAAGTTCACGTTTCATTGAATGAACTTACCGACTCTGTAAATGCGCATCGACACAAAATCTTCACGACATAATAAAATTAGAAGCCCGTCACGAATATCATCCACATATCAGTAGAAGTCTTGCAAATCAATCATCTCTTGTAAATATTTCAATGTGGCATTAATTTCTGATATTTTCACGTATGTTTGATTCACTATGATCCTGCAGGTTGCTCTCTTCTCAACGTTCGGCGTGGCAGGTGCTGTAGTTTTCGTGTACAAAGTAAGGAAGTATGGTACTGAAGGAAGTAAGTATAAGACATTGTTCGAGATATTATATCGTTAACGTTTACATTGTCATTTCCGTTCCATTTTGGTGAGTAATTTTTTGGTGTTTATTACTGAATCACTAATAACTTTGAAAATAATCTTCTTGCTCACATTTTTCGTCTGCACGTTGGACGTACCCATCAATATTTGTTGATTTTTGATTGTGTCACACTCCGTACTAGTTTCTGAAGTGGTGTGGTCATAACTTTGATGGTGTGGTCATCTCCGCTTTGATGTCTCATCCCATACCAAACATTTTTCAACTTACTTAATGATCGTTTATCATGAAATCAATCCTTGAAAATTGTTTTTCGTGGGTATAAAGGAAATTAAATGTTGAAACGCTAAAGAAAATTGAATAATGTTAGCATGAGTTTGCTACATCATGTTAGGAAACTATACTCGTTGACATGAAAAGTAATTGTATACAGCGGTTGATGGACGTGTGAAGAATAGAATTTGTATATGTGAACACGGAATTGCGTGCTTAAAATACGTGTAATGGTTTGTTTGCAGTTCAGCCTTACTATCGAGGACATTATGAAGTGGTTAGACCAAGCGACCCAGTTGCACTGAACTGGCGCCCTCCAGAGGTTATACTTAGTCCATTTATTTATAGGTAGTGATTTGTTTTTTTAGGTGAGTCGTTCAAGACGTTATTGAAAACTTCAAAATGATAAAAACTGGAGTGATCATTCACAAGCAGGTTCGAAATTACCTGTGAATATACACTATGACATGTAAGCGATATGGTATCGTTTC